CGCCACAGCGGTCTGTAACCAGCACTCGCTTCCCGGCTTTTCGAAAGAGCATCGCTCAATCTCATCAAGGAACAAAAGGCTTTGCTGAATTTGACATTTTCCTCTCAGATTGAACTGACCGAACAATTGAAATGTCTGCAACCCTTCTTTGCAGGATCTGCCCAGATTATAGAAAAAGATACCAGAGATGCTTCTCAGTAGTTTCATGCTTTACTTCCTAATCTATAGGAGCTCCCAATTCTATGAACTGAGTTTCAGGCTCTTGATTCCAAATGAGAATGAGAAGAACGAACCTTTGGGTTCCCTCACAACTTCCACTTAGTACAGGCTGACTTTTCTTCACTAATAGCAGTGAAAAATCAGAATAAAGAGGACATTCTACATCTGACTAGACATTTTCCTACATAATGTTTTCAGTGATAACAACTTGTCAAAGAAAAACATTTTCCCAATTTATCAATTAACTATGTCCAGGATGTAATTTCCAGTCAGAGAAAGATGGTGACAGACCCTGAAGTGTAGTTAGGCCATTCAACTGGGATGTGAGAAACCAACATTCAAATTTCTCTTCTGCCCAGTTTAGGCCAGGAACCTGAGCCTGACACTTCCACATCTCAGCTGGGGGCTCTGACAACCAGGCTATTTCATCCTGGCATGACCCCCAAAAGCTTTTCTTTGCTTAAGCTTTGATAAACTCACACACTGGGCAAGAGTGACTCCAGAAGCTCCCCAGGAAAGACACAGCCATCTGGGATGTATTTGATCCAGTTTCAAATTTCTGCATTGATGAATATTGAATTATTTATACAAAATAAACCAGCTCCAGCAGAGCAGCCTGCCACAGAACAGCTGCTATAATAGCATAACCTGGCATATACAGAGGATGACGGAGACAACAGTATAAGGACTCAAATCCCCAAATTATTAGCAATTCTAGGGCCTTACTCCTTTTACCTTCTCTGCATTTTCACAAAAATCTAAGATCAGGAATTTATACAATTCCCAAACAACTCATTTTTGTAATCAAACATTTTTCTGGGCTGTGAAAACCATGTGCTCCTGTAGTTTGGGATCACACTCCCTTTGGCCTTCTCCACAATGAAAATAGTACAGCTCTGCACTCACAATCTAACCCACGCAAACGGGTTCAGTTATCAGTGCACCCACCTGCTGAGAAGGCTAAGGCGGCCTCTCGGGTCACAAAATTTCCATGGTTGTCCAAGAAATGGCTAGGGTTAAACTGGTGAGGGGTCTCCCAATATTCAGGGTCAAAAAGAGCTGAGACTATGTGTGCCATAATCACCATGCCCTGAAAGGAAGATGCTGTTGGCTCAGTTCTGTCTCTCATACATCAAGAAGAAAAGGACACAAACAGATTCCAGCTATAATTCAGCACACTGATGGTCACATGGAGAGGCAGCAGAAATGAAAAATTATTTTATTAGGAAAAAAAATTTAATCTCAAACTGTTCTGAGTGGTTTTTTCTTCAAAAAATAAATAAGAAAAGAAACTTCAGTATTTCAGGTTCAGGAATTTCCCTGCTGTGTTCCTTCATGTCTCCTTTTTTTCCCATTCTGTTAGCAAATGCAACAGAATGAGTGGTCTGTGGTTCTTTAGCACCTGATCCTAAATCTAGTAAAATATTTTCCCACTTCTGACAAGATTTGACAGGTTTTGACAAATGAAGAACAAAGCACCCTGGAAATGAAATAGTATATTTCTCTCAAGGTGGAGGTGGGAAAGGTGTGCATGACAAACACCATGGAGCAGGGGTGTGCAGGAAGATGCTTCCGTGTGTGCTTTTGAGGAGCTTTGGCATTGAGGTTAAGTTTGGAAAGGCTGGATGAGTCAAAGAAGCTGGCAGAAGCTTTTTATTTGAGGTTAGGTGGCAGTTCAGAAGCTGTGGGGAAACATCTTAATTATGTTTCAAATACGATGCCAGAGAGGCAATAATAAGAAAAAGAAGTCCTAAGGGAATGAATTTGAGTAGACGCTTGGTATGGTCTCAGGCATCACCAATGAAGAAAACATTCAATCTCCCATTTGCCCACGCGGCAGACGATATCTTAGCATCAACAGTCTGCTGCACCCTCCCTACTGACACCACTGTACATTTCTGATAGTCGTCTCTGAGGTCTTTTGAAAGTATAAGAGCTCAAATGCTTGTAAAGTATTTCAAAATCACAGGCTCTTGGAAAGTAAGACTCTGCAGCACTCTCACAGAGCACTGGTTCAATTGGTGTGAAACTGTGCTTTTGGCAAGCATTTTCACTCACTGCCTATGAGACAAAGGCACAGACCAGAGGGTACGGGAGGGGAAAGTGCTGCCTGCCAGTGCTGTCACCAACACCCACCTGTCCTGAACTGGAGGGAAAAGGGGTTCATGATAAACATGACTGCAAGGAACTTAACTCATGGCCAAAGATCACACTGGAATAGAAAGGATATTTGTGTCTTTGGAAGCTGATACCCCGAAACAGTTGTATCCTTCACTGCTGCTCTAGGAACTGTGATTAAAATAATGCTACCATAGCGCATGATCTCATGAATCACAGCATTCATATAATGCAGTTTCTTCCAATCCTGATAGCAGATTAGATGGGGGGGACTCAGAATGGCATCTAGCCCGTTCTGGACTTTTTCTAAAAAAAAAAAGAACACTGTTTTGCATGAAACAGCTTTCATTTCCTTTTTAGATTATAGTAGTGATAGAAAAAATACAATATGTAAATAATTTATACTTACCATATCTTAAAATGTAAATACATTTATACAACGATCTAGTTGTGATTTTACTACACTCTGGTATTTCCTAGTTTATAGGTTCTATGTTCAGATCATCTTTCCACAAACCCAACAGATTTATTAAGCTTCCTAGGTAAAGGAAGGGGAGCGAACTGTAAACAAAACAAGAACTTCTTATTAAGAGATCAGTTGAGTTACTTGAGCTATTATTTTTACTCCAGCTAAACACACACTTACAGCACACTAATCAGAGTGGGTGCCATCGTATCAGGCTGATACACATATGTAATGCTGAGACCTGGAACAGGATAGTATTACCAAACCATCGCCAACTGTTAATCTCTTTTGGCTGTTATCTAGGCTTCAGTAAGTAACATTGCTTATACAGTCTCAGAGGGTTCAGAGTCAAATTTCATGCTTAAAAATTAGGCTAGTAATCTAAGGGGTTCTGTTAGCTTTTTATTTCATTAGAATTTAAAAGGTATGTATGTGCACAGGGCTCTGTTCTTCCAGCATGCTAGCACCAAAAGCATGAAAAGAAGGATTTTTAGCTCTAAACCTGGGAGTCGAGAACATGTAGTTGGCTTAGCAATTCATCACCTCTGAAAGCCCTGTATCAAATAATTAAAAAATTTTGAAACTAGTGTGCAACTATGCCCTTGTCTAGAATTTTCCAGTCATCTTTCTGTCTTCCCATTATTGTCTTCCTTCTCTGTTTAATATTACCATACGTTACAATAGATATACTTATTATACAGAAATACAACTGATGTCTCACTTAATGAGTGCAAATAATACATTCTTACCACACATTCTGGATACCAGAAAAGCATCACTTTCCCTTAATGCAAGCTTGTATTTCACCTTGAGTATTTTCAGCCAAAAATGTATCTTCCATTACATGCTTACAGTACTGAAACAGTCTAACAAAAATCAACAAGACAAAATACAGTATCAGAAGTTGAATATCCCTGAAATTATTTTAAAATATCTGTCTGAAAATTTTCAGCTTCATTGGCTTCTTAAAAGCAAAGCTCAAAAATGTGATCTTAAAAAAAAAAAAAAGCTTGATCTTTAAAAAAACTTGACCATAACAAAAAAAAAAAAAAAAACCGCGTAACAGACAATTGTTCTACTTGAAACGTACCCATTTTCATCTCTACAACTCACCTTGGATGTCAGGATAAGCCACGATATAGAGCAGAGCAGAGTGGTGGCAGTGGTCTCCAAGCCACCCACGATAAGGTCAAAAACAGACTGCACCGTGTTGTCTTCATCAAATGCAGAACTGGGGATATCTTTAGTCTACGGGTGTCAATAGAAAGGTAAAATTGGGTATACCTGTGTAACAGTTAGCACTGAGACAGACAGCGATCACCATACCTAAACAAATAATACTTCTAGAGGATGGAGCAAATATAGGTACTTGAGTAAAACAAAGATTTTATGCAAAGATTTTCCTCAAATATGTACATTGATACTGTAAAATTACAGGTGCTGTTGAAAGTGTCAGGTCTCTAAGGTCCTGTTATGCTTCCTTCTAGAGTGACTTGTTGCCTTGCTGCTAACTCCCACATCAGAAAAAAACATTTCAGAGTAGTTTTATTGCACCCTTGCCACTCTCTGCACATTTGCTGATTCCAGCTATCTGTTGCATATATAATGTTACAATTTTAAACAATTTATGCTTTTTTCCAGAGCAGAGACTACCATCATTTTAAGATTGTTATGATAATCATACAGTACTACTAAACACACAAGAGAATCTGCTTTTGCAGATAGATTTAACATGTATTAATAAATTTAATATTA